GACACCATAATAATTCTACAACTATAAAACACATACTATGGGTGTAGTACCTATGGGTGTAGTACCTATGGGTGCAGTACAGTATACACACCCACAGCATGTACTCGCCCATAAGACACCTGAGCCAGTACACCTGCCGCCACCTACCTTCATCTAAAGCTACGATCACACTAAGACTTCCCGTGCTATACTGTATATCCACGATAGCATTTCATCCACAGGGAATAAGTCAACGGTACGATCCGCACACTGGTCACACTGGCGAAAGCAACCGCCAACCAACCGGGCTAGTTTGAGCTCAGCTGGAGAGCAGGATAGCTTCACTGTATGTTGCTATGGCAGCTATTAACCACTTTAGTGAGGTGTGTGGTCATGTTAAAGAAGACCAAGACGGAAAAGAAACGATTGTGGGTAGCAGTATCCATCACGGAAATTTGGTGTGCGATTGAATGGACAAGTTGTCGGTTCTGGGTAAAGGCAAGAGATACACTCTGCTACGTCCGTAGAGTGATACGGTATATATAATGTGTAATAAAAGTTTAAAGTCCTGCTATAATAGTCGAGATAAGTTTATTTCTCTAGAAACAGGGCCGCCATTTGCAATGACGTCACCACCTACCCTGCAGACGACGCTCTATCAAATTCACCCCTGCAGTCGGAGGTAGTACAGAGGATGACCTCTTCAGACCCCAAATGCCACGTTCAGGTAAGTTTTATGGTTGTTTTTTGTGTGGTCTAAGTCATGGACATTTCGTAAGTGAAGAAATGTGCCGTGAAGAGCTGCTTCAAACATAGGTTGGATGGATATATGAGCGATGGGGATTGGGTGTAAATGGGACTGCCCATTATGGACCAGTAGGCCCGCTGCAGTTTCCTCCATTCTTATGTTCTTATGGACGTAAAAAACTCCCATGTTCACACCAGCTCAGCTGTCATGTATTCTTACCTGTTAGACTTTCTCTTTTTTCCAGTGCATTTACAGAGTGTATCAGTACTAGATGGAGATACGAGTCAATATAGAAGTAATAACATTGTCTGGACTTTGTTTTGAGAATGCCTGATGTTGGGTAAACGCGACGCAAAATTTTACTTTAACTACCATAAGTATTTGGATGCTTAGATTCGTGATAGGCTATACAGATATTGGGTAAATTTTAAGTTCTGGTCATCCCTGTACTTTGTTGACATACAGACTATGTTTTTTCTGATTGTTTGCGATGTATTATGAACGACTTATACATTAATTTCTATCGAAAATCACTAGTTTTTAATTACTGCCCCCCCCCCTTACCGATGTATGTTAAGCTAACTTTATAACTCATCATAACCTAACCTAACCTAACCTATAACCTGTATTTTCTTATGCTATCGAAAAATGTTTTGCAACACATATCCTGTAGAGATAATGTGTCTTATTGTTTAAAGTAGTTAATCCCATAGTTAGAATCTTAAGGTTCCCCAGATGACCAAAACCAAAATAATATCAATATTGTTTGGAATGTTTATACTGTACTATGAAATTTGTAGTAGGGCAGCTAATATCCATTGAATTAGTTAATGTGCCTAGTAATATTTATATATTCAAAATAGTATTACTGTGTTTCACAATAAAGCACAATTAATTATATAATAATATTTATTTACAGAGCCGATCAGCCGAGAAGGTTGGACAACTACGTCCAGGGTTCATCAAGGCTGATGAAAGAAATTCACCAGAAGTCGATGTATCTATGATTGAAGAATACTATCAAGAACTCCGCCGTCCAGCTATGAAGCACGTTAAATTTTCATCTGTCATCTGATCATGTCAAGCCCATCCCCTGGCCATGGTCGTCCCAAGTCCTTCCACAACATTAAATATAGACATCAGTGACGAAAACAAACATTTTCCAGACATAAAATAGAGAACAGTGATGAAAACTTCCATGTTGGAGTTATCGGTCTTTTGGCACCCACCAAGTAAATACACACGATGATACTTGAACAGTAATTTATTTTAACCTGAAAATAAGGTATGCTTGTGTATATCAACTTAATACTCACTTCAAAATGATCTTCACAATAGTAGGTGCAAGATACTGACATGGGAAACTGTCGTCGAGCAGCAAGTCTCCGGCTCTTCCATATCTCCTTATCTTTCGGTACTGTGATGAATATTTTGCCTGTTGAGGATTTGTCGGTACTCTTGCACATTGGCACGAAGCACCAACGAATCTTTGTCCTTTCCTTGAACATTGTATATGGCCACAAGTCCTGTATTTGTGCTGGTAACAACACATACACCACGGCTGGCTGCCTCAGGCTCCCTCTCGGCGACTCGAGCCAACCTGTGACGTCACAACCAATCACAGAGCTTTTCGCAGTCAAGTGACTTTTTAGCTACTTTAACCCTTATTTTTTGCACTTTTTGGCACAATTTATTTCAAAATATCATTACCATAGTGAATTTAAGCTTTTTCTTTACCCATTGACCTGTCATCTTACGAAAAAATTCCGACCG